GCCGAGCCGAGCCGAGCCGAGCCGAGCCGTGCCGAGCCGAGCCGAGCCGAGTTTTAGTAGTTGCCTCAGATTGTACATTTCACTAAACCCTGCTTGATTCCTTGGTACATACGAGCGGCCAGAAACAAATGAAAAAAAGCGATCGTTTCGCAAGAAGCGTATGATTAATTTTCAGGCTTCAAGTGGCCATATTAACGAAGGAGTTTTTCAAACAGACTGCCAGTTTAAGCCAATCCTAGTTCTAACCTGTCCACTCCGAAAATTTACCAGAGACATATGATGTAAAGTAAGTGAAAGCTTATTAGGGGCGAGTGCACACAGTTTGTGTTGTTGCGGTAGGAGGTGAGTTTGACATGATGGGTACAAATTCACAGGAAAAATAATCATTGGCGACGCACACCGGGCGGACCTGTGCGATCATGCGTTTTTGCAGTATTTCGTACTGTAATGAGATCGCTCGGAAACTCACTGGCTAGAATCTATGAAATACTGGTGCTCGAAGCTTGGGAAGTTAATTGTTAAGCAGTACTTAGACAGGGAACATTTCGTTAAGATTTCAGCTTTCCTAGTTCCAGAGTTAGCCATTTTCCCGCCAAAAATTTTCACGGGGCCGTACTGAGAGCCACGAATGCCCGTGGGTTGAATTTGATAAATTTCAGCTGTACATGAACTGGGAACATCCCATTAAAATTTCAGTTTTCTAGCTTGCCTGAATCCCAAGTTAGCGATTTTCCCGTCAAGAAGCTTCATGAGACCACACATGCCTGGAGTCTGAGATTGAATTCCTCGAGTTCTATGTGGACGGGGAATATAACTGCAAACTTCCAGCTTCCTAGCTTTTCTGGTTCCCGAGTTAGCGATTTTTCCGCCAAAACTTTGAGACGCTCGTAAACGGGACCTAGACGTGAGTGCGGGTCGATACCGCGTCTCTGGAGACCTACTGGCAAAATTTTGGTGCCGGAGCTTGCATGGGTGTCGAGCTGAAATACCCGGACAGACGCACACACACACAAACACAAACGCGCACACATATAAATACACGCACACACGGGGGTCGTCACAGTTTGCATTTGCATATAAGCAAAAACGCATAAAAACAAAAAAAAAAATAGATAAGTTTATCTAGAGGGGATTTCTAACAAACGTTCAAGTTTACTTCAGTGTGAAAATAACTGAGCGCAACGGACCGTGGTTTCATCCTCGAAGAGCACTTGATCATATTCGCTAACAGCAGTTATAAATATAATGGACTCTACATTGTCAAAACAGTGGATCCATTTACGACGCTCTGACCGCTGCCCACCAACATCGAATACTCTGGAAATTAGTTCAGAATTTTTCATCGAAGACTGTCCTGAACCATTCTTTGCAGTTTGACACTGGGTTTACTAATATGCACAATACTGCAACATCATTTGCTGAACTGGTGAATGATGATTACCAAATTCAGTGGCTTTCTCATAGTTGCGGGGTGCTGGACTTTTTCGCCAAGGAACAACTTTTTTGTCAAGGAACAGCAACTATTCCTTGACGAAAAAGTCCGGTTCAAGTGAATGCTCAGGGCTTTGATCGGTTTTGAGTGAAAGCACTTACCGGAAATCTAGTTCCTTGATTTTAAATTTAACTTCCACGACACCGGTTGTTGCAACTCGACTAAACAAAACATCCTGTTCGGTAGGCCGATAACCCGGTTCATGTATTCGCATAACAGAATCCAAAAAGCTGAAAAAATACGATGAAGGCAGATGCCGCCGTGTTGTCTATTGACGTCGACTCTTACAATCTTTGCCGTTATTCAGAATAGAGAACTCATGTAAGTCGGGAAAATTGTTACATTTAGCTCAGTTTTCGCAGATTCACCTGGCACTGAGCACAACCAGTTGCAGCAGTGGCAACGGCTTCGGGATGTCGAAATACAACGTAAATGCACCCGGTTTTTCCCACAGAGACCTCGATCTCACGTAACTGTCTCTCCAGCTAAGCTTTGCTGTTGCTTGTCAGTCCAGCTTGATCATTGAGTGGCACAAAATTAAAAAAAAAACATGTAGCTGTCCGCGAAAAAAAAAATATAAGCTGCTTTTGGAGAAAGCACAACGCCGGGGTAGCCTAAGCACAAATTCATACAGAAAAAACAATCCATAAGTCCCTACGGCTCACGGTTGATATTCAAAGAATGAAAGATTGCTAAGAATCAAAAACTGCAAACTTGATATATCAGGCCTGAGGGGATTCATTATAGCAACATTTGGCGCGTGACCGCACCAGACACAACAACAAATAATTCTAAGCTAAAAGTCCATTTTTTGATTTGTACTCAGACAGAGTCCATCTTTATCAGACGCTGTGGTCAGATCCTGAAAA